CCTCACTGGAGAGTTGCATAAAGCTGTCTTTGCGGTGTGTATAATCGAAGCCCTTCAAAGGCATTCAGAACTGTTTCTTTCTCCAGGTAATTAAGAATGCTCTCAGATGGTATAAAACTGTAAAAGACGTTTGTTTGATTTACTTTAAGGGGTATACGCCTGCTTTTAGAAGCTCTGAGGGAGCCTGCTCATCCACCCACCGTTTCCATTGCCCCCTTGTCAGGGTGACTCAAAGATATACGGTGACGGCTGGGGAGTAGAGAGAGACCTCTGAAGGCTTTAGTCTGCCCTGGCCCTCTGGAGCTCGGCCTGGGGCTTCGATTCCCCTGAGGTGCAGTCCCTGAAGCAACCCCCCCTCCTTCCCCCCCCCCCCGCCTAACACCTTCTGATAAGCGTAATTGTTCAGTGTTTTATACTGCTTGTGGTTCTGTACAACCCAACTCAGCACCCCCATGTCCAACCTGAAGGCAGAGATCCAGGAGCTGCTTTCAGCCACAGGTTGGTTCTGCCTCCTGAGCCTCCTCAGGTGGTCCTGCTTGCCTTAAAACCGCATTATTGAGATATAATTTACATACCACAAATTTCACCCATTTAAAGTACACAGTTCTGGGGGTCTTAGGTCCATCATGATGCTGTGCAACCGTCACCACTATCTGATTCCAGTACCTTTTCATCACCCTGGAGAGAAACCCCATACCCATGAGCAGCCATGCCGTCCCCTTTCCCCAGCCTCTGTCAGCTGCTGACCCCTTTCCGCCTCTGTGGATTTGCCCATGCTTTACATTTCACATAACTGGCATCATACCCTACATAGGTTCTTTATGCCTGACTTCTTTACAGCACAGTGTTTTCAGGGTTCACCTGTGTTGTAGCCTGAATCCTCACTTTCTTTTTATACCGAATAATCTTTTGTATGGACTTACCACATTGTGTTTATCCATCAGTTGATGGACATTTAGGTTGTTTCTGCTTTTTGACTGTTATGAAAATAATGCCACTGGCAACGTTTGTGTTTGACTTTTTTTTTTTTTAAATGTTTGTTTATTTTTGAGAGAGAGAGAGACAGAGTGCAAGCAGGGGAGGGTCAGAGAGAGAGGGGGACACAGAATCTGAAGCAGGCTTCAGGCTCCCGAGTTGTCAGCACAGAGCCCGATGTGGGGCTCGAACTCATGAGCCGTGAGATCATGGCCTGAGCTGAAGTCAGATGCTTAACTGACTGAGCCACCCAGGCGCCCCAGTGTTTAACTTTTTGTGTAGGCCAATGTTTGCATTTCGCTTGCATGCATACTCCCTTCAATTTTTTATTTTTTTTTATTTTTACATTTATTTATTTTTGAGAGAGTGAGACAAAGTGAGAGCGGGGGAGGGGCAGAGAGAGAGGGAGACACAGGATCGGAAAGCAGGCTCCAGGCTCTGAGCTGTCAGCACAGAGCCCGACGCGGGGCTCGAACCCACAGACCGTGAGATCATGACCTGAGCCGAAGTCGGACGCTCAACCAACTGAGCCACCCAGGCGCCCCACTCCCTTCAATTTTTAAAAACTTTTTCCTCACAGAGAATCTGCTGGCCACGTGGAAAAGAGTGGGTCTGGAACTCAAGCCACATTCCTCAGCCGAGTGCAACTTCTGCAGGAGGCCACTGCATTTTGAAGTGATGAGTGAAAGAGAGAAATCCTACTTCTCCGGCATGAGCAAGTTGGTATCTGCCCAGGCCTGAGTGTGTCATGACCTCAGTTACTCACTGAACCCCAGGCCGTGTCATATCCATATAGTCTCCAGAGTTGTCTTTATATGTGAATTAAATTATATTAAATTTTAATCTATAGTGAAAGCACAGTCCTGAAAATAAATTCTTGTTTAAGTGACGGGTCCTGTTACTGGGCGCTGAATCAGAAAAATCATTTTTCTTCATGCCTTTCAACTTGGTCTGTATTGCTGAGATACGTGAAATGATGGGCATGTCCTGGTCCTCTGGTAGTGACTGCGGACCCGGCTGGGGTGGCAGACCCTCCTGCTTGGCGTGAACCCAACTTTGTCTTCACTGCCCACTGCCACCTCAGCCCTGCAGCTGAGGGGCCCTGAGCAGGCCAGGCCCCGTGGTGGCCATTTCACTCCAGTTCCTCCCCTCTAATTGTGGTCCTGCCACAGCGGTTTCCCTCCCTGCTTTCCCTTCTCAGCTGCTGCCTTGGCCTCAGGCTTCCCTGTGAAAGTAGGGCAGTCAGAGGGAACTGCTTGTCTGTCCCCACTGAGTCCTCCAGCCCGTCTGCCCTCTATACCTGGTGATTGTGTCCCTTGCAGAGACAGTGCATGTGTCCGTGCTTCTCTGTCTGACTCCTTTTTTTTCTGGGTCCTATGGTTTCTAGCACCTTCCTACAACCGCCTCTAACCTCCTCAGTCATGAGGTCATGAATTTGTTCCCATTGGCCTACAGCAGGCTTTGTCACCCACCCACTAAATGAGCCAGCTCTCCTTTAGTCTAGACCCCCTTTGGGCTACTGCCCGTCCCCTCTGTTCTGCCTCTTTCCCGATCAGCTGCCTCACTTGGTCCTCTGTCCTGCGCCTGCGGAGGCTACTTTTTTTTTTTTTTTTAGCCACATTTTGTCTCTATCTTACCAAATCCAATGTTTTTCCTTTCATTGGCTCTCCCAGTGGTCTTTGCGATGTCTGTCCTTGGCCTTTTCACAGCTTCCTTCTCTGACCTGTGCTACCAGCCTCTCCTGAACACTGAACTCTCTCACGAACTGGTCCCTTTTTGAATGTTGGGCACCCACCAGCCTCATCTCTAATTGCACTTAGCACTTCCCTCACGCCATGTGATCTCTCCCAGCCCTGGGCTTTCATTTCCAGCTGGTCGCTGCTGACTGCTGTCGAACACCTCGAACCACACAGGTCCAGAGGCACCTCGGCCTGCCCACTCCTCTGCCTTCTCTTCCCTTGTCTTCCAGCATCTACCCACTTACTTTGGTCCCTCATGGAGAAGTCCGCTATCTTTTCTCACACGAGACTGTTGGCAAAGTCCTATAAATTCTGACATACGTGTCAGGCTAGCCCACTTCCTGTCACCTCTGCTACTGCGATCCCAGGTGTGCCATCATCCTGGCATCTGCCCCAGCCTCGACCCCACACGGTAGCCTGAGAGAGCTTTTAAAATTATAAAGTGTATTATGTCCCTCCCTTGCAGAGAACTTTCCTGGGCCTTCCAGTGGCACTAGGATTAAATTCCAGCTTGTTCACACAAGCTGACCATATTCTCTGCGGTCGGGATCCCATCCCACCTCCATTCTCGATTTGTTCACTCTGCTTCATGTGTTGATGCACTCTCCTAGGCCTCAGACCTCCCAGGTGCGCTCCAGCTTCTGGGCCTTGCTGTTAGCCATTGTTTCTTCCCCGGATTTTTCTAGCCTGGATCATGGCATGGCTGCCTCTCTTTACATAGGTCAAGAGTCCTGAGGAGACCTTTCCTGAGCCCCGGGATAAGGCAACCCAGCCCCTCTAGTGTTCTCACTGTCACTTGACCTCCTATTGTGCTGCCCTTCCAAGCACTGGTCACTACCCGCAGTGACTTTCCCCTGTTGATCATGTGCTCTGTCTCCTCACTTCTATATCCCCAGTGCCCAGCACAGTACCTGACACACAGCAGGCACTGAGCAAGTGTGTGTTGAATGAAAGGGGGTTTTCTTCACTGTAGCTGCCATAATAAAACACCCCAGACACCAGGAGACATCCATTTCTCACAGTTCTGGAGGCTGGGAAGGTCAAGATCAAGGTGCTAACAGATTCAGTTCCTGGTGAGAGGCCTCTTCTTGGCTTGCAGACTATTCTCTTCTTGCCATAAATTCACATGACCTTTTCTCAGAATGTGCAGAGAGAGGTCTCCTTCTTCCTCTTTCTCTCAGGCCACTAATCCCACCATGAGGGCCTCACTTCATAACCGAATCTAATTATTTTCCAAAGGCCTGCACCTCCAAATGTCACCACACTGGGGTCAGGGCTCTAATACATGAATTCAGAGAGTACACATTCAGCCCATACCAAATCTACTTCGCTGGAAAACATAGGTGAGCTGAAAGAACCCCAAGCAGCTGGAGGACAAAGACAATGCCCGGTCTTGCTCCCCTCTCTTAGCTCTAGTAGGGCAGCTGTGGATCTCTCCTCCCTGGAGACAGTTGTACTGGCATTCCTGCCTGGGGCGCACCCTTCTCCAGGACTGGCCCTAGAGAGAGGGGCTGAGTTCTGGTCCCATCACATAAAGCCACACATCTAGGCAGCCACTGGGCACGATGGGAGGCAACATCACCTCGCAACCACCACACAGTTTCTTTCTGCTCAGGAAACCTGTCTCACTTGCTTTCCCAGCCCTGTTCCCACATGAGCGGCTGGGCTTTCCCATTGTCCCCCCACCAACTCACCCCGTGTTCCCACGCCAGGAACTCCCTCCACCTCTTTTCCTCCCAATGTGACTTGTTCCTCCAGCCTGGGTAATGTTTCTCTCTGAATACTTAGCAAGACTTCCCTTCCTTCTCATAATACCCAGAGCCAGCTGGGTCAACGAGGTTGGTCACCTTCCTTCTCTCCTCACTGCTACTCGGGGTTATGAGAACAAAGGATGGTGGTACCATCTGCAGGAAGTGGGTGGGATTCATGAACTGCTTAAAAATGAGAAGCTGGGCTTCTAATAGGGTCTTGAGTGTAGAAATGTGTGATATCATAGAAATCTCCCAAGAATATGGAGACGTCGGGAGCATTACAGTATCCTTGAGGGAAAAGATAGTTGTCGTCGTTGAGCTGAGTTGTCATTGAGTTGTCATTTCCAATCTTAGCGGGGAGAATTTCCTTACATTTAAGTTTTCCTCTATCAGATTTCCCTAAGTCTTGTGCCCAGACCTCTGTTTGTCTAGTACTCACTGCCCCATGACAGCAAAAAGCACAGGAGGCAACACCAGGGTCCTGCTCCCAGCTTCCTGTGCCCCTGATTCAATCACATCTGCCTCCGAAACCCGTTCAGTGCTCCAGGTGGAGGGTCAGTCTCTGGGTACAGAGATGAAAAAGCAAAGCCACATCAGCATGAGCCCCTTACCTAATAATGATGGCTGGGGGCTGCTAGGTTTCTCAGACCTTCACACACGTTAGCACCAAGCCTTCTAACAGCCTGCAGAGTAACCCCGGCCACCCCTATTTACAGATGAGCAAACTGAGGCTCCAAAGGGGAGGTCGCCCACCGCCCAAGACAATCCAAATGGCAGAGCCAGTACTTAGCCCAGGTGAGCTGACTTGAGTGCCACTCTTCCCCAGCCTTACAGAGCCAGGCCACAGCTGGTGCTCACGCTCCATGTCCAGCAGTGCAGAAGAGAGGGCCTGGAGCCAGCCACGGGTGCCCTTCTTGAACACAGCGCCATGGCAGTCCCTCTCAGCAGTCCCACCCGAGCCCAGGACTTGGGATAATGGAGCTCTGTCCCTTCTGATCCTGGAGACAACAACAGAACTTTTTTCTGTAGGTTGAACCTAGGGCCATGTATCTTCAGACTCACTTAAGCCAACAGTCATTCTACCATAGCCCCCATGCTTCATCTCTAAAATGCTCTTCTGAATCTGAGGCCCCAAAAGAACCAGAACTGTGAGCATGAGGTAGGTGGGTACATGAAGGTTCCGTCTGGGAACTGCCTGAGGGCAGACTCAGCTGTCCTGAGATATAGGCAAATAGTGTCCCCTGCATGCAAAATATGGGGCCCTGGATTGGGCCCTGCTTCCCGCTCCTAGGTGTGGCCGGAACAGCCTAAGAGCTGTTTGGCAAGGGCCTCCCCTAGACTCCAGCCTGAGTGAAAGTTCCTGTTCTCTTTTCTCCCCAGGCACAGGCCAAGGAAGTACGTGGGGCCATGCCATTCCTTCTGCCTGCTCCTCCAGAAGCTGAGAGGCCCTCTCAAGAGGCAGGATAGAGCCCATGTGGGACTTTTTTTTTTAAGTTTATTTATTTATTTTGAGAGAGAGTGGTGGGGGGGTAGGGGAAGAGAGAGAGGGAGAGAGAGAATCCCAAGCAGGCTCCGTGTTGTCAGCATGAAGCCCAATGCAGGGCTTGATCCCCACAAAAACCGTGAGATCATAACCTGAGCTGAAAACAAGAGTCAGATGCTTAACTGTTTGAACGACCCAGGCTCTCCTATGTGGGACTTCTGAATGGTGGATCAGACCTTTCGGTCTTTCCAGCTGGAAAGCAGGTAACAGAGGCCACCAGCCTGCCATAGGAGCCCCTGTGCCCAAGTCAGAAAGAGGAAGGTGGCCCATATTTCTTTCCCAATTATGCCCTGGAGCGGGGGGCAAAAGCAGCACCCCACCCCCTGACCCCAGGGCTGCCCACAATCAGGCTGCAAGACCAGCCAAGACTGCGGCCAGCTCCAGTCTTCCACCCTAAGAGTCCTGGAGCAACTGGGCTGGCCTCCAACTGTCCCGAGCCAGCCAAACTGCTTCCACTCTGCTGCCACCCCAGGTCCCAGCTCCAACTTTCTGGCTGTACATGTCTCTTCTCCTCAAAAGGTAGGCTCAGCTGTGGGGACAGTGAAGCAGCAACCCAGGACAAAGCAACCTCCAAGGCTCCAGGCCTGACATGACCCACAACTCCCCACACACTTGAGTGCAGACTCTATCAGTCTGTCTCCAAACACTGGTCATTGGTGCTTCGAGCAATGTCTGGAACCCTACACTGGATATCAAAACTAGAAATGCACACACATACTTCACCCTCATCGGATGTGGCTGTGTCTCCCACCTAAATGCAATCAGCTGTGAAAGGCAAGGGCAGGGAAGGCAGGCCCACTTTTGTAGCCAGGTCGTGGCTCACCCAGGTGTCCCTTTGATGTCAGAACAGAGACCCAGCATGCACTCTAGGTGAAAACAGAAGGGGACTGGCTGTGAGCTCACTCTAGAATCTTCTGTGGCTCCCAGCTCCTTGCTTTGGGGAGCTACCCAAGGGCCTCTCCCCAGCCTGGGCCAGCCTCTTAGGCACAGCACAGGCATGGCCACCAGAGGGCACAAATGTCCCTCTGAACTCCCGACAAAGCTTTCCCCCTTGGCTTGGGAATGAATGCTCCCCAGGGCTGCTGCTTCTCCGGACTTTGCCAGGGGGCAGAAATGAAGCAGGTCTGAGGCACCCACGTGGCTCAGTCAGTTAAGCATCAGACTTTGGTCATGATCTCGTGGTGCTCCTTCACGATCTCATGGCACTTCAGATCCTCTGTCCCCCTCTCTCTCTGCCCCTCCCCCACTCCCTCCCCCCACTCCCAACCCCTCTTGTGCTCTCCCTCTCTCAAAAGTAAATAAACTTTAAATATATAAGTATAATATTA